AGGGGGTGGGGGTGGGGGTACAGGCTTCCCCTTCTTGCTCAGAGGCAGGCCCAGCTCTGGGTTCAGCATGTCCATGTAGCTCTGGATGTCTGCAGCCCTTGCACCTGGAAACCCTGGGGAGGCAGGCAGAAAGCAGGCTGGGGAATTTACAGAGGCTATCCCCTGGGGCCCAAGACTCCCCAGCGCCCAGAGGCAGGGCTGGCTCAGGAGTGCTCCCTGGCATGGCTCACTGTGGCCTCTGGCAGTGCTGACTGCTCTCTCCCTACCACCCACGCCCGTGGTCATAGGCAGAGGATGTTCACAGACTTGGAGGGCAAGCACCAGGGAGCTTGGGCACCAGGCAGTGCCTGTAGGGCAGCCCCACCAGGACAGGGCAGGGCGGCTCTTGCGAGTGGGTGGTAGGAGTCTGGGTGGCCACAGCTAGCCTTTGAAGGCCCCCGCCAGCTCCGAAGTGGGAAGCAGGCCCTGCAGATGGGTGGACTTCCATGCTCAGGGTGTGACCAGCCTGAGGGCATGTGCATTTGTCATATTTGTGCTCGGGACTCTGCATGGGTGAATTGCGTGTGCTGGTCTGGAGACATGGTGTGGGTGTGCGCAGGTATGAAAACTGGGTGTACTGTGGGTGTGCATGTGTGTGTTGAAGCAACTCATCTGCACAGTGTTTGTGCACATGTGCAAGTGTGCATGTCTGGTGTGGGCGGGTGAGAACGATGAACTGTGTGCAGGGTGCATGTGGGTTTCTGGGGAAAGTGTACATGTGCATGTACACGTGTGTGTGGTATGCGCACACAAGCACCTTGTCTAGGCGCTGGCGTTGGCTCTGCTCTCCCCTCCTCCCGCGGGGTGCACTCACCACGTGCAGGGTGCTGGCCCTTGAGGCTGGAGTGGCTGGAGGAGCAGGAGTCGTAGTTGGAGAGGGTGCTGGTGGGCGAGCTGAGGTCAAAGTGGGGCCGCTGCACAGACACGGTGGTGTGTGGGGAGGACATGCCCGAGTCGGGCTGCCTGGCCTCCAGCTCAGTGGATGGGTCCCGGGACAGCACGTGATGCTCCACGCTCTGCAGGGAAGGCAGGGAGGACATGAGGGTGGCCAGGGCCCAGTTGGGGCTCTGCTCAAGCCAGCCGAAGCTGCTCCTCTCTCTCCAAGACCCTTTCCCCATTGTGAGAAGAGCTTGGGGTCCTTCTCAGGCTAGGATTCCAGCCCAGCCCCCGCAGCAGGACTCCAGGCCCTGACCCTTCCCACCCTGGAGGGAGGAGACCCACTGGGAGGAGGGGCCTGGGCTGCACCCAGGGGACCAGTACCATATGCAAGGCTCTCCTCAGAATGGGCAGGGCTCGGGCTCCTGTGCACACAGGTAGGGTCCGGAAGGCACAGGACAGCTCAGCCCTGGCACCTGGCTGAAACCGTTGACTTACCTGACCTGGCAGCTCCCAACACCAGCCCAGCCCATCTCCTGGAGGGCCCGGGGGTGGGGGGCGGCCCAGCTCAGCGGAGAAAGGCAGCTCAGGCCCATGCTGCAGAGCATGTCACCCTCCCTTCTGCCCACTGTGTCTGTCCCCTCCTGGTGGGGACAGGGCTGGGATTGGGGTCCTGCTTACATTGCCCATGGCGTCCCTGATGCCTGCAAGCCGGCTCGCTCCGCTGCCTCCTTCCCAGAACTCCTCCCTGCCCAGGGCCCCTCCCTGCCTGCGAAGTGTCACAGGCCCCCTGGGAAGGGCAGGCAGGCCTGGCACCAGGTAACGGCGCAGCGGCCATGCTCATTGGCCCTGTAATCAGGGACTCCTTGGGAGTGTTTGCCTTTTCTGGGCCAACATCCTCGGTGGCTTGGGGCTGACACCGCTGATGCTAGGTCTGTCTGGATGAGGAGCCAGCCCTGCTGCTACCCCACGAGCCACAGGGAGCCCGGGAGACATGGGTGGCGTGACAGCGCTATGGTCTTGTCTGGCACTTGTGGACTCCAAGGACCCCCAGCCCTGACCCTGGAGGGCCACAGATGACAGAGGCTGGGTCAGTGGCTTTAGATGTCCTTTCCCCACCACTCATGTGGCCTTGGGCACATGAGTGTCCTCACCTATAAATGTGAATGATGTCACTACCTTCCCGGTACGTGGCAAAAAGATTATGTTTTTTTGAGACAGGCTGGCCTTGAACTTGTGGCAATCCTCCTGCCTCAACCTCCTGTGTTGAGAAGACAGGTGTGCACCGCTATGCCCATCTCCACACAAGAGTTAGAAAGTGAAGCGCTGGGGCTCAGTACCCAGTGAACACCACCAGTGTAAACAACTCATACCACAGTGACGAGGCCTCAGATTACACCCATCAGAGACAGCATTGGACGAATGGGTTGTTGCCGGGCAGCTGCAGCCTCAAAGGCCCTCAGAAGGGACTGGCAGGGCCCACAGCACAGACAGACTCAGGGGAGGAACCCACTTCTGGTGCAGAAAGGCCCTGTGGCCCGACACTGCTTGGATGGCCCAATGACAGGGTCCTCACTGCCTGCCCAGCCACCTTAATTCAGGCCTCTGGGGGACTTGGTTATCCAGTCCAGCTGCGGTGTCTGACCCTGGGCTTGCATATTCTTCAGATTGCTGAACGGGGGTCACGGCAGTGCACTGCTGTGCAACCAGCACAAAATAATTCCCAAGAGTCCCGTGGGCTCCCAGATGTGGATTCACTGCCAAGTGAGCAGGAGTGAGGGGTAACGGTCAAGATGGGAAGTCCCAGCCAGGCCTGGCCTTCTGGCTTCACCACTTACTGGCTTGCGACCTTGGGCCTTCGGGAAACTCAGTTCACCCATCTGTGAATTGGGCACTAGCGCCACCTCCCTCCCGGGCAGCTTTGGGAGCTCCCTGTGCTAAAGAGTGGGCGGCTGGACGTGGGCCTCCTGACCTCTCCAGCCTCTCTTACCCGGAGAGCTCCCGTCCTCCCGGCGCCCTTCCCTTCAGCCTTCCCCCTCTTCTCCCTCGTGGCCCCTCCCTCCCCAGTGGGCACCAACTCCCCGTGTCACCTCGGGCCCGGGGTTTCACACCCGAACCTGTTTCTTCCTTGGTAAAGAGTAAAACATCACCCCCCGGGCGGAGAGCGAAAGATCAGGCCACGGAGCCACGCCATACCAGATTCTCCACGGTGCGCAGGTAGCGGGTGCAGTGGCTGTGGCCATTGAAGTCGGACAGGTCGGCGGCCGTGTACCCGTCACGGTCGCGGACGTCCAGCTCCGCGCCGTTCACTACCAGGATCTGGCAGCACTGCAGGGTTGGTGAGGTGGGGGACCGGTGAGGTCCCGGGTTCGAGCTGGGCCAGGAGTCTGGGGCGGGGTGTGCTGAGAG